TAATTATAAACAAAGAAACAAACAGTAATAAAAGTTCTTATACATAAGCTTTGTGCCCATATTTAATTATTAGCTGAACTTGTGCCTACAATTGGTGGTAAATGGTTAACTAGTATAGAATAGTAATTTCCAAAACTGTTTTCCTTGAGATGTTAATAGGGATTCTATAAAATGAGGTTCTCTAATTAAATAAATTTGAGAAGTCCTGTACACCCATCCTTAAAACTAGGGATTCACAATCATATTAGCACTAAAACTTCAGAGAAGTCCTCTGATAAAGAAAAATCTATCTTGTTTTATCTTTAAAACTTTCTTTAGTTGAGTATGTCTCAAATTTATTTGACCGATGACTTTTTGACTGTTTGCAGCATTGAGTACTATCTTACAAAGCTAAGGTGAATAGGTCATGATTTTAGAAACACAGCTTTGGCATCATCCTGCGAAGTGAAGCTGCTTACCTCAAACACCTTTAAATGCTTAAATCTAAAATTACTCTAGATGGAATAGTTTGGACAAAATCATGTGTATGATGTAAACTTGAGAACATTTTCTACCCTCCACTCCAAATTACAATCTAGCTTTTTTTTTTTTTCACTTATTTTTATTATGCAATCTAGCTTTGTTTTTTTGGTTCCTGTGTGAGCCGTAAAACTCACATTACCCCTGCTCTGTAAATGTCAGGTACCAGCTCTTGGCCAAGACCAACACAGGTCTGCCCTGAGGTCTACATGACACCCCAGGGATACTAACTGGGCTTCTTTAAGAGAAATGTTTTGTAGAGTATGTTTCTTCCCGGGTAAGAAACTAGATAACAGGATGCTTATCATTGAAATAGAGGCCACTTTCAGCTACTGTCAGCTATTCAGTCCTTTTCCAGTTGAACAGACTGAGAACAAGTTTTGTTGAGACAAGTGGAGATGGAACCAGAGGGTAGTGGAATCTGGGTACATGCCAGCAAACACCAGAGATAACCATCACTGTTTGAAGATTCTGATGGGTAGTGTCCTAAGGGCCAAGGAATTTCAAGAGGCTTTCCAGGACTGTAGACAAGGAAGAGAGAGACTCCTCAGGCCTGTACCACAGATTACTTGCATCACTTGTTTACTTGTTTGTGTCATGAGGCCCAAATGGTGGTGTCTGCAGTGTCTACTGCTGGGGGATGAGCATGAGACATTTTTCACCATCCTGACCAAGGGGAAAAGGGACTTCCCTGGTGGCTCAGTGGTAAAGAATCTCCCTGCCAATGCAGGAGACATGGGTTCGATCCCTGGTCGGGGAAGATCCCCTTAAGGAAATGGCAAACCCATTGTAGTATTGTTGCCTGGAGAACCCCATGAACAGAGGAGCCTGGTTTACTACAATCCATGGGGTCCCAAAGAGTTGGACATGACTGAGCAACTGAACAACAACAACGAATCAAGGGCAAAACTTGATTGGGCTGCAAACTAGGTTTTTGATGACCTGTGAGCTTCCTCAGCTGGTGTGAGAATTCCAGGCTTAGTTGGAACCATACTGGAGGCAGGGTGGTTGGAGATCCCAGCAGAGAAGCCCCATCAAGCTGACATCCTCCGGTATCAACCAGACCAGAGGTCTGGGGGTGGGGTGCAGTGTTTCCTTTCTCTGAGGACCTGTGACTGCTTCTCCTGAGGCTCAGACATGAGCTTGGTTGTCTGAAACCTGTTCTTTCCCAGACATCCCAGCCAGCTTCTCTGGAAGCCGTCACTGCAGACCTGCTAAGGCAGTCTTTGGCTCCTGTTACCAATGTGACCTCTAGTGGTTGTAACCGGTAAAACTGGCTTCAGGGATGGATTTGCTGGAATACTAAGAAATAAACAGGAAATGGCTTTAATGTTTAATAGCCGACCACTTCTCTGTAGTAACTTTTCACCTTCTGGGATTCTTTTTCAGCACACACCCAATTATATAATTTAGCGACAATCGACACAATTTGGGTTCCAGACCTAACCCTGATTGTTGCTAGCTAATATAATTTGGGCTGATGTTAAGCATCTGAGCCTCCAGGGTCTAAACTGTTCAGAGATGTCATGACATCCACCCTGATTACTACATCCCAAGGTTGTTTTAGGGATCAAATGACATGAAGAAACCTATCATTGAAATGCTGTATAAATGTGTTTGTTGTTACTTCAAAGCTGTTCGTGTCTGTGGTTCTGTAGACCACAGTTGTTTTATTTCATGTGCTTTGGGGAAGACATTTAAACTCTTTCCCCAGATTCTGTATTGGGAATTCTGTCCCAATCCACACGTTATTTAATTAAGTGACTGCTATGTGTATTTCACAATGGACTTACTGGTTCATTCAACAACCACGAATCTCCTGCCTTGTGCCAAATACCACGATTGGTGCTGGGATCCAGCAGTGACCAGGGCAGACAGGGTCCTGCTCTAGTTGAGTGTATATTCAGATGAGTTAGGGGGATTCTTAGCCTCTGATTGAAGTGGTTCCTATCTTTAGGTGACTTTATAGCTTAACTGAGAAGAAAAATTTAAACAATCAGATGTGACACAAGTCAGTGTGTGAAAAAGGCTTTCACAGAAGTATAAACAAAGTGTCCTGAGTCAGGGGTCCTGCTGTGGTGTGTGTGAAGGGGTGAGGTTGGAGGCAGTAAATACAGACTGTCTTTCCAGGAGTTTAGTACTGGGGGAACGGCTAGTAGGAGATGACTGGGACCTCTTGAGAGGTCAGTTGGAAAGTGACCAACCTGATCTTTTGGTATCTGTTTCTAGATTTAAAAGAGTTGCAAGATTTTTATGCAGAATTTCCTAGGAAATTGCTCATTGTTACTCCATAGACATAATTATTCTTTGAGATTCCAAGTAAATAATAACTAGACTCATTGGATGCTTACTGTTCTAAAAATTAACTTTATAAATATTAATTTGGTTCTTGTACCAACCGTATGAGGTAAGTACCTCTATCAACATTCCAGTTTTATAGATTTGGAAATGGAGATAGAAAAACTTTAAAAAAAAAGTAACTTGCCCAAGGGTATTTTGCTGCTAAGTAATGAACTCAAACCAAGCAGACTGGCTCTAGAACTGCGTGGCCACTGGGCTGTATTATTTCTCAAAGCTTCATTATAAAAGTTAATCAAAATTTTTAGAAATACATACCAGGTATTCCAGAATTATATTGCCTGAGGCCTGAGATTGCTTCAGATATTTTCGTACAGAGGGGTGGGAGGAAGGCAGGCAGGTAGGATTGATGAAACAGGAGTGGTAAAATCTTCATAAATGTTAATATAGTTGATAAGTCCATTGGCATCATGATAGCATTCCCTAATTTTCATAATAAAAAATAGAAATCATTTCCAGAGGATTTCAAAACCTTCAAATATTTGTACCCTTACTGTTAATATCAAAAGACTTTTTACCAGTTATCTGGGTAACTGAGATCAAAGCAATGAGTTTCATTAAGTTACTAATGTAATGGTGCCCATGTATTAAAAATCATTTCCTACATAATTGCCAAATGGGCTGGTCATATACTTTTTTTTTAACCGGTGAAGGTTGATCTTCTTGCCAAATATACTTGATAGAATAGCAAAATGTTTGAGTTAGAGTAGACTTCCAAGACAGCATCTCCCCGTTTTCTCATTTCCTTGCTAGGGAAGTTGAAACTTGGAGAACCTAAGTGATCAATCCAAGGTTAAAGTGGGAACATGACATGGTTGTCTTCAGCCAACCTCATGGCTGGTTCATGAGAGAGCAGGAATTAAAACCCAAGCTTCCTGAACTGAGGGACTTCCCACCTCCCATCAAAGGAGCTCTGCCTGGTAAAGTCTTAGAGCCACCCATGTGGAGACACAGTCCCCAGGCTTCACTTGTGATTCTGGCTGGCTGCATCAGGCAGTCTGGGGAGTAAGGCAAAGAAAGATGAGCTGCTTCCCTCCTGCATCTGCAGCAGAGGGTCAAGTGGGTCTTGAACCTCCCCTGGTAGCTTCCAAACTTCTGTGCTCGAATGGCCCCATATATTTTGTGTGTTTTCTCTGCATTCCTTGTTTATGGTCCCTGCGTCTCCCACAGGGGGCATAGTCGGAAATGTCATGACTGGTGCACCTGAAGGTACTTCTCAAAGGTGCGTTTGGGGTTCTGGCAGTAAAACCCACTCCCACCTGGGCCAGAAGTCAGGGAGGGCATTTCCCAAGAGGGTGGGATGCAGACGGTCTTAGCGGCAGTGCCTGACATCACCACACCACTGTGACTGTGGACCTGATCTCATCCTGAGAATTCCTGTTTGGTATCTCAAGAGCTGAAACCTCACCTTTCCCAAGTCTGGCACACCCCTTTCCTACAACATTGAACCTGCGGTTGTTGGCGTTCATTCCTTAAGGTCTGGGAACTCAAACCTAAATGCTTTCAGGACCATGGCAGGTAAGGTAAAAAGTGAAGCTGGCTGATAAGTGTAAAACCAGGAAGAACAGGCTTAGTTCTCATTCAGGGGTTTTACAACACATGCTGTTTATACAAAAATCTCTGGCCATCTGACCATCGGTGACCTCTGATAGAAGAGAAGGAGCCTGGGAAGGAAACCAGGAGACCTGGATACCGCCGCCAGCCTCCTGGTGACTCAGCACAGCCTTCTCTTTGCAGAGCCTCAGTTTTCCTTATCTGTAAGAAATGGGTCTTTAAGATTCGAATAGAATACATGTCCCCAAAACAACCAGAGCCAGTGTCTGTCTGTCTGTCTGTCTTATCTGTCTATCTGTCTGACATATATTTGCGAAATGCTTGACAGGTCTCTTTGGTCTGACTGACTTTAGAACCCGTTTCCTTGAGGTCTTTGTTGGATGCGTTTGTGACATTAATCCTCAAGCACTTGGATCCTTGTAATAAAATGACCTGCGCTTAACCATCGTTCTGGTACCCACGCTCTGTGTCACAGGTTGCTTTTTTGCCAGTGTTCTCTACTTTCCGAAAGCCATCATGAGCAGACAAGCTTATTAGAAAGGGTGTTCTCTTCGTGTTGTTTGTTTCAGGGAAAATAGAGAAAGTCAAACCTCCTCCATCCCCCACACCTGAAGGTCCCAGCTTGCAGCCTGACTTAGCCCCCGAAGAGGCTGCCGGATCGCAGCGGCCCAAGAATCTGATGCAGACCCTCATGGAAGACTATGAGACACACAAATCTAAAAGGCGCGAGAGAATGGATGATAGTAGTGTAAGTTTCTCTTCCTTTCCTCTTTCCTGCATCCAAGGGTGAACATCGGCCTGGTGTATGGTACCGTGGATCAGGCTCTGATGTGTGTGTGGTTGGCTGGCCAGCATCATGGTACCAGCACCAATTTTCACATGTGTGGTTTAACATGCCTGGAGTTGGGTTGGGGTTTGTCTTGTTTCTCGAAAACATTGATCATGCAAACAGTGGGTCCTTTTGCTGCCAAGTTCTGGTCTGAATCTATTGGCACGGCTTGTGCATGAGATATGGGATGTGTAGAAAGATACCATGCAGGGGGAACACAGAAAGAAGGATGTAAGTTCCCCGAAATCACCCACAGACACCAGGGAGCCGACCACAACCATTGCTCACCTGCTCTGTATAGATGTTACTCCTCTAGGCAGGAGTCCCCAACCTCTGGGATCTAATGACTGATGATCTGAGATGGAGTTGATGTAATAATAATAGAAATAAAGTGCACAATAAATGTAACGCACTTGAATCATCCTGAAACCATCCCCCCGTCCCGACCCTAGTCCATGGAAAAATTGTCTTCTGTGAAGCTGGCCTCTGGTGCCAAAAAAGTTAGGGATTGCTGCAGAGAACTGTGACAAGGCTGATCCTTCAGTGTCTGCTCTGGGCAATCCCTGTAAAAGGTACACAGTGCTCGGAAGACTCAGTGTGTTTTGGGCTCTTACCAAGCCCATGTGTATAATTTGGCAGAAAAGAGCCTTTTAAAATGACAGTTAAAAACCACAGAACTACCTTGCAGCCCTCAACTCCGAAAACTTTGCATGTGACGTTCCCATCAGCCGTGAAGGAAGTCATCTGCTCTGTGGTTTCTTTCTCTAGTAAGAGACTTAAGGGCCCTTGTTCCCCACGGCCTGCACACCCAGGAGCCTGGGGATCAGCCTCGGGTCCGTGTCAACTTCTCGGAGTCTGCTGGCTTCTGTCTCTTAGCTTTTATTGAGGTACCCACCTCTTCCCCTGAAATAGCTCAGGTCGGTTGAGGATATGCCCCAGTTGGCCCAGGACAGTCCTGGTTTCTGCCTCTTATCCTCATGTAATTATTAATAGCATCCCTTTTCCTTCTTAAAAGTGCCCCAGTTTGGATGATAAATTCTTTACTCACCTTAAACTTGAACGTGATCAGGCTCACAGTAGGAATTCCATGCTGATTAACTGCCTTTCATATTCTAGTTGGCTGAGTTAAAGGATTTCTGCGGTTGAAGTCAGATACTGAACATTTTAGTGGTAAAGAAAGAAAGCGAGCGTGCCTATGGCGGCCGAATGACCCACTTGGTGTCTCTCAGCCTCCTCTTTCCTGGGCTTGTGCCTCAGTTGCTTGGAAAGCTAACCCAGCTCCGCTGTTGGGCTGGAATATATCTGGACTGTTCCCTGTATTGTACAGTGGGATGGGCCTGGCCCTTGATGGCTGCCGCTGAGGTTTCCACCACTGGGGCTCCTTCTCTGAGCCTGTAAGACCCTTTCTGCCCTTCTTTGAGCCCTTTTTAAAATTACGGAGTTAACCTTTAGGTATTTTCTGGAGCCTGTGACTGTCTTGAAGCTTATGGCTCTACGTACGATTTCACACCGTATATCGGCTACCTTGGTGGAAGTTGGCTGGGATGTGGGGATATGGAGGGACTGATGGATCACTTTGCATGTGACCCAGATGAGTGATTTTGAAACACCCTCTCTGTATCTCTTTTGCATGCCTTTTGTGTTGAAGGGCAGGTGTCAGGGGAAAACACCATACCTAGAAGTAAAGAGCCTGCTCATACTCAGGTCGTAGGCAGAGGCAAACAGACTCTGACACTCAGGCAGCCACCTGACATATACCACTCAGGTTGTATTTCCCCCTTTGCATGAAGGAAGCTGCTTGGAATCAGCCTTTTAACACTGATTGCCCTTCACTTACACACTCCTGTCTCTGTTTGTTTGTTTGTTTGTTTTTCCCAAGTATATCAACATTTTAGATAAGGAAGAAACCTACTAAGCAAACTGTTCATATTCCCAGATCTCAAAGGCAAGGCCAAGTGTTCTGCACTGTCATTGACACTGCAAGAGAACCAAGCTTTTCGCTGTTGAAAGTTCTTAGGGATAGAAAAAAAATCCATCCAACCTACTCTATCTCTTTTAAGAAACCCAAGTCTGGAAGAAACAAAAGAACAGAATACTACAGTTGCTTCTAAAGCAAATGAATGATCATCAGTGAGACTTCATCTCAGAGCCACCTGTTAACCTGTCTTAGTCCTTTTGATTCAGGGAATCTTTCTATTATGTCACCATCAATCACTGCAGAATATGTTGAAGTTTAACTGTAGGACTGAACAAGCCTTCATCTCTTTTCCTAGCTGATCTGTGGCCCTTCTTTAATTGTCTCTCATACCAAAATATTAACCATAGGGAGCAGATGGATGGCTTGAAGCCCGAATTTTGTCACTGGCTTCCCTGTCCCAGAAGCTGGTAATTCTTTTCTCCTTGCTCCATCCACATACACGATCCTCTGGGTAAGATGTGGCTTCTTAGTTCCTCCAGCTGCTATCATCCCAACTCATCTCGGTCCATTGTGACTCAGCACCTGGGCCTGCCACCATTTCTTCCCCAAAGCCACTTGGCAGCTATGAGTCGCTCACACGTGATCAGGACCCAACCAAGTGTTCACCCTTCGAAGTAGCAAGCTCTTTCTGAACCGAATTAAGAGAATTCTTACATACTGAACTTCCCAAGGAGAAGGCAGACTTAAAAACAAAATTGGGACGTGTACCTAGTGATGCGCTGGGTACAATGATGTTAATGAGGGTGGGAGGAGAGAAGAAAGAGAAGACAAATGTAGCTGTGCCTGCAGTTTCCATGAGTAGTTTTTGCCAACCTATCTAGGGAAAAAAACTGATCCTTACCATCAAAACAGTTCTAGCATCCCTTCACCCCAGAGTAGCGCTGGCGCCTGGAGACCTGTCCCTAGTTCAGGACCTTCCATTTCTCCACTTGATAAAATATCACATGTGGGATAGGAGGGATGCCTCTGGCTCAAGGAATCCCTGGCAAGCAGTGGCACTGAGGCAGTTGTGCAGTATGTAGTGCTCTTTTTCTTCAGCTAGCCTCTCTCCTGCTAGAACCAAAGTGAGGGCTCAGAGAATGACAGAAGATGAAATATGAAATCATGAATCTCTCTCTCTCTGGGAACATCTGCCCAGGAGTCACTATTTCGGTGATGTGAAAGTCATCTGTGGATGTTTTGCTTCATTTTGCAGTTGGAAATGAAGTCAGTGACAAGGAACCAGAAAAAAAAAACACCTTTTCTGAGAAAGTGACCCCCACATGGCCATCCTTGTTCCCCATCTCAGACCTGGAGTAGGATAATCCTTCAATAGAAATGGTCTTCATCTGCCTGGGCTGGGGCCTCCTGCTTGGCGTGGTCACTGATGAGTGTCACCATGCTTGAGGTTCAGCCAGGCTCCACCTCTTGCTGGACCCCTTGGCTAATTTGGGGTAGGAGGATTGCTAACCGCAACCCGGCTCACTTACCCTGGGCTGTTTACCAGCATATACAGGACTCTTGTGAGAATTAGGAAAAGCCACCCTTTTCCAAAACTCTGAGGATGCAGTCCTGAGTCGGCTACACAGCTGGGGAGGAGACTGGGGGACTGAGTTCAACCTCATCCATCCCCCAACCTGGTGTTTTTGTGCAGAGCAGCCATCCTGCTCATAGTATAGGTTTCTCCTATCCGGAAATGTTATCTTACATGGAAATGTCCCTTTATCTGGGCCTGATGCTGTCTCTGGTCAGTCATGCAACTCATAAGGTCCTAATGAATCATAATTTCCTGTAGGGTTTCTTGGTACCTAGCAAAGGAAGGATATTGAGGCAACACTGTTTTTTTGGCCAGTTTTTCCTCCAATCTGACCTGAGTCTTGGAAGGCAATGAGTTCTTGAGTCAGGAGTGCTTTTGAACTTGTTTGGTAGACTTGCTTTCCCTTTCTCGTGGAAGGGATGCTGTGCTGAGTCTAAAGTACAGCCTCCTGGGCTTTCAGCCCCATCCTCACGCCTCGAACAGAATCTGCCCTTGGTGGCTTTTCCTCTGTTCTCTTTCTTTCTCTTTTGCCCCCAAGGTAGTTACTAAGAGCGTTTTCAGCCTTTTCTGCCTGTCTTGGAATAAGAGCAGGCCTCTTTGATTCCTGGATTTATTCCTGGGCTAGAAGTCACTGCTTTTCCAAGAGTTCCTGACACACTCTTCCTTCCAGACCATGACACCTTTGGGGAATTCTAGCTGAACTCTTGCTCGGGGGGCGGAGGAAGCTTGTCTGCCTCCAATGCCCCCACACCGCAGGCTGAAGGCTCAGTCACCCTCAGTGATGCTGCGTGCCCCTAGCTCTCTCAGGTTCTCACACACACCCTAGGAGCGCACAGAGGAGGGGAGCGCTCCGCATCCATCAGCCCCTGGTCATCAGTCTGATCATGATGCAACATGTTTTTTCAAGTGCAATGCCTAAGAAGCAGTTGATGATCACAGTCATATGATTCCCCATCCAGCCTCTGGTCACCCTGCCAGAAACCAGTCAGTGCCTTCAAGGTCCCATGCGGTGTAAATGCAAGGTCATGACCACAAGTCTGGAGGGAGCTGTCAAAAGTCGGTCCTTCTAACTCATCACCCACAGCCAGGACATATTTTTGCTGAGCTTTCTTTACAGCGACTTTTAGTTTCCTAGAGGAACTAAGGGATCGTTCTAGTTCATACATAATCACCCCATTCTCAGGAACCTGTCTCGGCACCCCCACCCCCCCCAGGGTAGAAATGAAGCAGGCTGCTTGCTGTCTCATGGCAGCGCCATCCTCAGATCAGGTTCAGAGACTCTGTCTCCACAGACCTTGCATTCAGACCATTCTTTGTCTATGGTTAGGGTCTTCTTTTCATGGGACAGCAGATGACAAGGCTGCTTCAGGCCCCGAGGGGCCTACAGGAGGAGGAAAGGGCTGTTTGTCTGCAGATGACTACGGATTCTAACGAGTCCAACATGGCCCTTACGGATCTTGCTGGGGGGCAGCTGGTGGCATAAACAACAGGGGAAAGAATCTTGTTAATTCAGATCATAGCAAATGGAAGTGACAAATCTTGAATTAACAAAGTCTGGCTTATCTGATATTTTTATGGAGGAATAACAGGGTATCTGCTTGCTGCAAAAGATACACTTAAATAAACTGATATCAGATGAAGCAAGTCTTGGTGTGGGTGTGTCCTGGTCTCCTGACGTCACTTCCCCTCCTGTCCCCCCCACACCCCGCGCCCGCCCCCCACGTGGTGCTGGTCCCCAGCTGAGGGGTGCTCCCCGTGTCTCTGCCATTTACTAACCCTGGTTTTTCCCTCTCTGCCAGTACACCTCTAAGTTACTGTCTTGCAAGGTGACTTCCGAGGTACTTTTCCGCTTGTTTTTGTCTTGGTCTTCCTGCATGCCTGACCCAAGTGCATGCTGTCGTGGTTTGCTGTTTCCTGATGGGTTTTTTTTTCCTCCCTACCTTTTCTGAATGGGATGATTGCCTTGAGATGTTGGCGTGTATGCAGCAGTGGTGAACGAGACTGTGCTCTGCTGTGCTGTGTGCTGGGCTGGACAAGGCCTTGCCTTGCTCATGGATCTGGAAGATGTTTGGACTAGAGGGCAAACAACAGGGAAATAGCTATTCGGATTTTTGTTTGTTTTTTTAGAAGCTGATAACAAATCTGCTCTGGTCTGGTTAGAAAATCATGTAGCTCAAGAGAACAGGGCCTGTTGGGTTGGATCAGTCCTTGGTTTGGCTTAAACCCAGAGAGCTCCACACCATCGCTTTAGGATAACTTACTCCAACTGTGAACCAATCCAGTTCCCCTTCCTTGCCATCTTTAAACCTGTGTTTTTGTTTTGGACGTTCCTACAAGCATTAAATTTCCCCCAAAGCCGCCTTCTTGACCCTACAACTTCCTTCTACACAAATTTCTCAAACTTGTACTGTGAAAAAGCACATTTTAAAATGTTTTCCATTTTTTCCACATATATATTGACTTATTTATATGCTATGAGAAAGCATATTAGTTTTTATATTTTTTATTTCTATAGCATTATTTTCATTTTTAAAGAATTATTGCAGATGTACAGAATTGTAGAGAATCATTTATTCATTCACCTGGTTAACAATTTATCCAGGACCCATTACACATCAGGCATTTTATAGGTTCTGAGAAGATAGTAGTCACCTGAACAAAGTCCGTGATCCCATGGAGCCAAGAATGTGCCTGTGTGCCAAGTATATGACAGAGTTAAATAATGAAGCCAGCTTTGTCCATTCTTGTCATTTTGTAATGTTTGCTTAATATTTTACAAAAAAATTAATATTACCAATACCATTCAAGCCCTCTTGTTACTTCTCCCAGCTCTCATTTCTTTCTCTCTTGAGAGATAACTTCTCTGGAGTTTGGCATTGATTGTTTCCATGCATGTTTTTATCCTTATACTATATACTATATATGTCTGTATACGTAAATTATATCTAATGGTTTTGCATGTTTTAGAACTTTCCATAAATATATCATATTTTAGCGTCCAGTAAGCTTTATTCTGTCTGAATCATTTTTTAATGTGTCCATGTTGATGCTTACAGCTCTATTTCACTCATCATAGCTGCCGTGTGTAGTGTTCCATTGAATGAGTATATATGTATTGATTTATCCTTCTAGTGATGGAAATGTAGGTTGTTTCTTTTCTCTGCCATTACAAACAATGAATCAATGAATGTTATTGTACATAGCTCTTTGTGTGACCCATGGAAGAAGGTCTACAAATATATCTAGAAGTAAAAGTACTTGTTCTGGGGCTTATACAGGCTCATATTCACTACCTATTGCAAATTATTCTTCAAATTGGCTATGCTAACCTATAGCACAATATATTGGGTTGACCCAAAATGTTTGGGTTTCCTATACCATCTTACAGAAAACCTGAATACTTTTTTTGGCCAACACAATATATTTTATATCTCCATGTTTAGCAAAATAACTGTAGTTAACTATAGATATGAATTGATGATTATCAGTGATGTTTTTTTTTTCCAGAAAGTATAAAATGACAATGCAAATATCATTACATGGAACTTCTTCAGTGTCTAACTGTGGTTCTCAGTGGGGGGAAGGTAGTTTAAGAATTAGACCCTCAGCCCACATTCCCTTTGAGTCAACATAAGATTGATGAAAATCTGGTCTCATCCATCCAAGGAAGATAAAACTGGGTCCTGTCTACCTTCAGTGGGAGAGATGGGGGATAAAATATTAATACAAACATTACTTAACACATCTGTCTTTTGTTTCACATCCCCAAAATAAAATTGTCTAGGCTGATTGCTACTCAAAGTGAAGTGATTCACTTGAATTCCCTAAGCATTGGAGAGAAAAATTAATATTAGAAGATTGCTCAGAGAGAATTGATTTTTTTTTTTCTTTCTCCCACCAGACCTAAATCTGAATTAATTCGTGGAAGATAAAACCTTAAATCAGGTCTTTCTATTTTTTTAATGTTTTTTTCTTTCTATTTCTATGGAGAATGTATATTGTCCTTTTGATTCTTCTTCCTTCAAATTCCTCCCAGCAACTGAACAGAAGTGGAATATGGTATTCCAGACCATTGACCATTTAACCCAGAGTTCTGGGGTCAAATGTTAACTTTTCCTTCTACTAGTCTGATTATTTAAACCTCCTTTTGGTTCATTTTTTTCATATGTGAAATGCAAGTAGTAATAGGATGAATCCCATAGAACAGTAGCAAGGATTAAAACCTCAGCTGGTTCATGGTACCCGTGATGTATGTGTTTATTATTATCAGAGCCCTGGAGGCAAGTGCTTTTCTTAAACCAGAACGGAAAGGAACACACTTTAGGAAATAAAGTTAATATGCAAAAATCTAGAACAAGGGTTCTAGATTTGCTAAAACTTTATTCACACACACACACATATACACATAGTACTCTGTATTAATTGGGCGGCAGAAACTCATCTACGTACCTTCCCCAGTGGCTTGGCTTTTGAATCTTCAAAAGGCCAGTTGTAGGATGGCTTCACTCCTGAGCCAGTCCTAGATCATAAGCCTCGTGGACCTGAAGACAATTTTATAGCAAGGTCACTGGCTCTTTTAGTTATGCTCTGCTGCTTATCTGATCTGTGCCTTTACTCGCGACTTTATAGATTTCATCAGAAATCCAGGCTCATGATAAGTAGCATATAAATTAGGGGAATGAAAGAAGAAAAGAGGGCTCATTATTGGTTCGGTTGAATTATTTGGGTTGCCACAAGTAGGTGTTCAAACCCAAGCTGTACTGAACGTTTCCATAATTATAAGTATCATTTCTCTGCCCATTGCACTTTTTGGTGACTAAGCTCCAGGAGGAAGAGACTCTTCTGTCCTAAACATGAAGACTGTGCCTGACACTTCATAGAAACCCAAGAAATACCTGTAAAATGGTTGGGTAGTTGGATTGATATGGGTTCCCAAAGAACAGAGTAAAGTAAATCTATTTAACATGACTGAGAATTGAAATGGGGCCTGAGGCCATCTGAAATGGATGGGGACACTTTTTCTCAGAACCTTAGATTGATTTTTAGCTCTTATGTAAACCATTCAGTTTGTATCTGCAGTCTGCAAGGCAAACATATGACTGTTTATACAATGAGAGCTCCTTGTCACAATGCCTTATGTTAGAATACCACTTGATTGCTTATAAAGCACTTTCACATGATGAGAGAAATGCATAACTACTGTTTGAGAACTTATTATGCCCTGGAAACTATGCTAAATGCTTTACATGCATTGCCTCATTTATTCTTCAGACCAACTTGGTACTATAGTTTTTATTATCCCGATTTTACATATAAGGAAACTGAGGCACAGAAATAATAAACCTTCCCAACCAAGATCATGTAGTTACTAGGATTTATTTAACCTTAGACCTGCCTGGACTCCAGAGTCCACCCTTCTTCCTGAAAGAGCCTGTGAAATAGGGCAGGTGTTGTGTTTATAGGTAAACTTTCTTTATACATAAAGTTTAAGAGACACAAGATGCCATGAACAGCAGCAACACGTTCCATGTAGAGAGCTAGAAATAAAGCTCAGCACTTGCCTTTCCAGTCCCGCACTGCCTCCCCGTACCATGTTACCGCGCATTGACCTGAAGACTGCCATTTAACTCTGCCAGACTTGGAAGCATCCTTCTACTGATGTCTTACTCTTAGATATTGACTAAGTGACCATGATATGCTTATACACGAACACTTTAGGGCTTATGTTCTTCACGATGAGCATCCCTTCAGGAGACCTGACTGAGTTGTGTCCCATGTGTCTTGTCCAGCCATCCCTTCTAGGAGGACTAGGGAAGCCTTCCCATAGAAAAGTGCACTGCAGCTCTGGGAAGTCCATTAATTTATCAGAGGTGCAGAGAAGCAAACTGAGATGCCTCCCCCTGCTCCCCCTGCCCTGCCCAGACCTTAATCTGTCCAGAATCTGCTTATGTCTGGGCTCCCAGCACTGCCTGTAAACGTGCATCTCCTTGCTTCTCTGGAGTTGCCAGCATCTCTGTCGCTTGCCAAAATGATTGTTCTTTACATACACAAAAGTTTCATTCCATATTGGTTGGATAACCAACCAGTGTTGGCTCTGCTGGGCTTTTCTTTAAATTCAGAAACTGCACATCCTAAGCCAGCACCACAATAATTGACCTACCTGATTGGTGTGCATGGGCTTGCTTTTGGTGTAGTATTGTGAAATTGAACCGTTTCTCCTGTGTTGGCAACCTAAACGTCATTCATGCAGATGTCATCTGGATCAAACTCAAGCAGGAGCAGACTGGCTGAAGGTTTCCCCTGGAGTCCACAGGCTCTTCTAGGGAACCAGAGGGAGGGTGGTCTCACCCTGGTGGTGGTGAGCCAATTTGTCCTCGATGTTGTCACCTTCCATTTCCTTTATGAGTACTTATGGCACTGATGCTACATCAGTATGCTCAGATTCCTTTATTATTGGCTCCAGAAGCTCATTTTCTTTCCACTTAATTCCTCTTGCAAGCTTAATTATACCAAAGTAGATTTTTGTGATATAAATAAGATCATAGCTTGCATAGGTCCATAAAGCTTGATGGAATGAATCCACACTGGTTCAGTGGTTTGAAATTCTTTTCTGGAGACTAAGAGCATTCGTAGCTGTGCTAATGTGGTAGTCACTAGTTCCAGGAGGCTACTGAAATCAAGTATTTAGTTTCTCAGCCACACAAGCCGTGTCCTAAGCACACAGTAGCTGCATGTGGCTAGTGGCTGCCATATTGGATAGTGCAGATGCAGAACATTGCCAACAGACTGCACTCATCTAGAGCGTGTAGCGATCCGCTTTGTTATCAAAAAGCTTGATGCAGGGTCAAGTCTAGTTCGATAAAATGTGCAGAACATTTCAGGAAAATTAAATCTCTCTGTACTGAGAATGATGGGTCAGATGGCAAGTGAACGTTGGCTGTGAGATGAAGGCATCCCCCAGGACCTCCCACCGCCCACCTTTTCTTTCATTCTCTCCGGTCTTCCAGCTGGTTCAGGCACTTTCCCGCTTTCCTCATTCATTAGATACTGTTGAGGGAGGGAAAGGATGAAAGAAACAGAGAACTCAGTTTGTGTACATGATTGATATCCATGAACTCTGAGTAATTTTCTTCCTTCTCTCTTAGGTCCTTGAGGCCACACGGGTTAATCGAAGAAAGAGCGCATTGGCTTTGCGCTGGGAGGCGGGGATCTATGCCAACCAAGAGGAAGAAGACAATGAATAATCAACTTCCTTCCACCCAGGAAGCTTCTTTGGTGCTTGGGTTCCCAAGAAACCAAGAAATCAACTCATCAAAGCATTTTAATAGAATATTTATTAAAGTGCAAACGAACTCAGCAATCCTTATGCAGGCCAGAAGTTACAATTTACAGTGATGAAAAAATAAAGTGAAAAAGCAGTCCACCCATCAAACTCGAACTCCTGGGAGTCAAAAGAAAAAGGATTTTGTGTGTGTGTGAGACTCAAAGGATCGCCTGGGTTTGGACCACAGTTGATCCCAAAGGACAAAGAAATTACGAGCAAACCGACATGGTTGCTCCAGGCAGAACCGAGACCGGGCTGCTGGGTGATGAGGAAAACGGTGGAGATGTAGCCATTTGGAGAATCTGAGAAGCTGGGGCTGTCCCCCTGGCAGAGGGTATTTCCCCTGTGCCTGCACTGGTTTCCCACCCACGGCCACATCACGGGTGTCGGACCAACTCCATCCACTCCAGCAGCCATAAAATAAGGTTTCTCTCTCTATTCGCCCAGAAGAGGCAACTACTGTCCCATATCTCTTTCATTTAATTGTTTTTAATTAGGAGCAGTGAATGATCACAATCTGTATTTTGAAGACAAGATTTCTTCCTGTTGCAAACACAATCTGTTTTACATTAGGAGGTTGAGGAAGTGGGGGCAGAAAGCCAAACCAAATAGATTATTTTAGCTTTAGGATCTTGTCTGCTTATGATACTGACTGAGCTACAGTTTATGAGAACACATTTTCACAATTCTGTTTCTTTATATGAAGACTATATTTAGTGGGCAACAACTATTTTTATGATGGGGTGGGGGAATCTATCCATATATAAAACCTGTAGACATTGAACAGCATGATTCAAGAGGGGAGGGGTATTTTTAGAGTGGCAATAATTGAAAAAAGGGCGAACTCTGCCTTGGAGAGGTAGATGAGAAGTAAAGAGGTGTTTATAACTATATTTTATATATAAAGTGAACCTTCAAGGGAGTAGGAAGATGATAGATTATTTTGGATCAGTCAGGAAGGAAAGGAAACAGTAATGAAAGCTCATGAAAGGTAGAGAATGAGGGAGGGAGAAAGAGTGGGAAAATGAGGAAGTAAGAGAGATTATTTTTGCTGAGCAACCAGTTATTTTTCAGGATGATACAGAGAAAAATATAGAATAGAAATTTAAGTGCAGGCTTAGGATCAGCTACAAATCCTAAAGATGGGTGTGTGCGTGTGTGTGTGCGTGCGTGTGCGCGCGCGCCTGTGTGCCCACACATGCCTTTGTGTATTTTCACAAAGTGCATGAATGCTCACGAGTAAGGGTGTGTGTGTGTGTATGTGTGTGTGTGTGTGAGAATTAAAATTCCAGAATGGTCATGGGACAAAGATGTTCACTTATTTCCTCCAAAGCTGTTTGCCAGTGTCAGGAGTGAGCGAGAATTTCTTTTTTATGAAAAGGATATAGAGGCTCCGAGCTGATACAGTATTTGTAATATCAAGTTGACCTAACATGGTGTTTGCATGAGTCACAATGGCAAAGTTTTGAGCAGTTTTGTAATTTGACATTTAGGAAAGTATCATATTTATTCTCGCGCTTTGTATTCATGCTTAGTATAGGCTAAAGGATGCCAGCTTTACTCTGTCTTTTAAAGCAATATGATAAGGGTATTCAATCATGGAATGCCCTCAATTTCTGGATGAGAAATTTTTTAACTCTGGCCATGAGAAGAAACTGACCAGCATTCTTTTTTTTTTTTTTAATTAGAGGATAATTACAATATTGTGCCCTTTGTTTTACAACTGTGTTTTTTTTTAAAAAAAAAAGCAATAAGTAAGTTAGACCTCACTAAAATTCCTTTTTGTTTTTATATTGTTCTGTCATAAGCGCTAATAGGTTATTCTGACAAGGAGCAGTTCCACAAAATTCGTATGTAGATGTCATGCACACTATCTTTGCTTCTGTTATTAGACTAATGTCGACTTTAGGGGAAAGTTTATTCATAAACAAGTGGTGGACACAAAGTAGAAATGGAACTGTCGGATAACTTACAACTTTGAAACTGCCAAGGGAACCAGCAGTTTGAAGCCAAATTCTACAGATGGGTAATTAGCGCCATCTTCAAGTGGTTCATGCCCCTGAGCATTCCGAACGAAGAGTCAACAAAATGTGCTAGCCACTGGAGATACGTGACAAATAAGATCCCTGTCGTTAGGAATTCTTTTTTCAAGTGGGAGAGGCTGGCACAGAGACAGAAGTTCCCAGGAAAATGAGATGAGGAGTCCTGACCGGTGCCGTGGGAGTACCCTGAGGATTTCCAGCATTGTTCCCAAGACAGGCACAGGAGTGACCACTGATGGGACAGGAGCATTGTGTGGCCCAGGGACACGGGCTGCTTGGATGCCTGGAGAGCAGAGCGTCCCATGCTTCATGATTTCTGGACTAACTCTGGATCTGGTCATGACCGCAGACTAGATACAGATGGACTCCCCATCTTTCGAAAGAGTCCTCAGGACTTACCTGAAGTGTTTGGTTCTGTTTTGAAGGCAACTGTGTACCCACCTTAATCCTCCATTTGAGAAGAGAATGGGCAGCTGAAAAGAAAGTTTAGAAGGCCACGCAATTCCTGCAGTTGCTGTGGAGGCAGATAAATCGGTCTTTGACTACAGTTGATTGAACCAGACACACTTATTGCGTAGTCACAGAGTTGGGATCCTTTGGTCCATGCTTTGAGTAGGCAACAAATCCAGCGTTTCTGTGACCCCCTCACAGTCACAAAGCCGTTTAACTGTGGCCCCCACATCTCCAGCCTTTGCTTGTTCCCGTCTGCTGCCTTCTGATGACTGCTGAGTTACAACCCTGTTAAAATGTACATTACAGTTCCCTTGGAAGAGCCAGGTTTTCTCTGCGCTCTTGAGTTTTTTTATTCATTTAAGAAACATTGGGCCATGGCTTTGTACATATCACTCTGCTAGGCTCTGGGATCCCAAATGAACCCCTTAAACTGTGTGAAGATGCAGCAGACCTGGAGGAAAATCACTCCTGCCTCATCCATTGAGAGGAAGAGGCTTGTCCACACATTGGCCTCTGATGCTCATCCCTGCCCCCAAATAGCACGCAAGCTTGTTAATCTCAGCTAGAACAAATGTTTAGATTCCGTAGATGTTAAAAGCTTTCCTAAAAGTATTCCATCCCACAGTGTTTATAGATGTCCACTTTCCTCCGGAACTGATTACCTACTGACATTCCTTGGCTTTCTCATCCAGAAATTATGGAAACAGGGTCTGTCAGTGGCAGGAGGCTGGGCTGTGTCCAACGCTAAGGACACATGCAGTTTCCTTGCCTTTTTACACCTGTGCATGCTTCCCACCGTAGACAGTGATGTATAAGCCGTATATAGCTCAGTGTCCACATATATACACAACACACACACACAGCATAACAAGGAACACTAAAAACAGTGTTGACTCTTGTCTCTGAAGACAAATAATTTAACATTTTTTCCAACTGAAGAATGGATGTCATTAAACTATGTATTGAAAAAAAAATAACCTACGTGTTTAGAGATGGTGACTATATCCAGTTTTAGTGACAGAACCAATTTCCTGAATTTTAAGCATTCAGTGAGTGAGCTGCCAATTTTAATTTTGTGTTGCTCTTTACCCAAATGACTTTTTTTTTTCCCCTTTTTTGGAGGAGGAGGCAAAAAGCAGCAATACTGTGTTTGAAAATGATCCTCTGGCTCTCCTGTGTATGTTAACCACTTCAATGTTATTATCCTGCTTTGGTTTTATAGTGATTGTGAGGCATTCAATGCAAGTATACAATTATTTTCTCATTAAAACCCAGTGTGTGTGGTGTTTTTATAAATGATGGCCACTTGTTTGACTGGGGTGGGGGTGTTGGAGGACCGCACTGCCCGAGGGTGGCATGCCAGTGCCCTTGCCTCTAATTCCATGGGGGGAACATCTGCTTCTTGCATGTTTGGAACCAAGAAAGCAATACGAGCTGGTGGGGCAGACCTTTGACAGGCTGTTGGCGATGCCCCAGCTGCCCTGGCTAGACTGGAAACTCCGATGGGACTGACAGAAATGACACGGGTGCCTCTAGAGGAGGTAGGCAGATTCCACGGTCAGAGATGATGGGGCGAAGGGCAGGATGAACAGTGACGCTCACACTTTGCACTTAGGTCCTAATTTTTATTATCTGTTCCATTCCCCGCACCCACATTTGGCTCTGATTGGGTGCTAAGTCGCTTCAGCTGTGTTCGACTCTTTTCAACGCTATGGGCTCTGCTCTGAGGCGTAGAGAATCTCAGACTTTACCAAACCTCTGAGACCACAGGTGAACCAGAAAGCTTGCTCCCCTGATTTCCTCCTGCCCTCCCTCCACTTTCTCACCCCCAGCCCTCGTCTGTAGCCACGCTGAGCTGTCTTCCATCTTAAACCCTGGAACTAACCTGCACCCAGACCTCCAGTTGCCTGTTCTTCCTGAGCACCTCTCTCTTTTCCTGGGGTCTCCTTTCAGCTGCTGCTTTCTTCATCTCTCCCCATTTATGTAACTTCTTCCAGTCTTCCCCCACCCCCACCCCACCCCACCCAGGATTGCAGTCATATTCTCCCGTTCTTCCCTACGGCATCATGTCCAGTCTCCGTGTGATGGGAGTTCTCAATTTTGAGGGGAAGGGGGCAGGATCAGGGCCCTTTGAAAATTTGATCAAACTCTATAATAAACAGGAACATATTAACATTTTTTAAAATGTGTTTTTAATTGGAGGATAATTGCTTGACACTGTGTTGGTTTCTGCCTTACAATGACATGAATCAGCTGTAAGTATACGTGTATCCCCTCCGTCTTGAACCGCCTTTCCACCCCTCATCCCCGACTCCCAGGTCATTCATTACAAAGCACCAGGCTGAGTTCCCTGTGTTATTCAGCAGCTTCCCTCTAGCTGTCCATTTCACACATGGTAGATGAATAGCTAGCATTTATGAAGCACTGAGAAAGTGACAGGCATTTTCTACAGTTTCCACAAATCTATTTCTTACAACAATTCCATACGGTATTCTGTTTTGCTTTTTGTTTGTTTGTCTTTTGGGGCATTTTTTTTTTGGCTGAGCCACGCAGCTTGCAGGATCTTAGTTCCCCGACCAGGTATCAAACCCAGGCCCCTGGCAAATTTGAGAGTGGGAAGTCCTAACTACTAGATGCCTGGGAAATTCCCTGGGGTTGAACTATTTTGATATCCACTTGACACGTTAGAAAACAGATGCCACAGAGCTCATAAATAGTAGCGCTTGAATTTTAACCTGGGCACTCTAATTCAAGTGTTGCTCTTACCACTCTCCCCATAAAAACGCACACTGGCAACTTCACATGCATGATCCAGTAGATCTGATGCTGTGTGTGGGTCTGGGTGACCTTAGCACACCTCCTCCTGCTGTGGGCTCTTGTGAACCAAGGCCAAAGCTGTGATAGGAGCTGGAGTCTTGGGGGAGAGCAGAGTTTTGGTGGCAGCCACTTCATTCAGATAAAGTTTCTGTATTTGAATGAACTCCCTCTAGGCTCTTTCCTTTGGGGTCAGCTCTCCCAGGAGATGGTGGGAGAAGATGACCCAGGCTTCCCATTGCCAAAAAGGAACCAGAAGTGACTGCAAATGGGTGATCAAAAGGTGCTAAAATTGAATTGTGATAGTTGCACATTTACTAAAAATCATTGAATCATACACTTGGAAACAAGTACATCTAATGGTATGTAAGTTATACCACAGTGAAAGCCATAGCAAAAAAAAAACAAAAGGATGGGGGACTCAAGGAACTGGAAGAAAAGTCCAGGCAAAAGATCCAAGGAGGTCGCACAGCCTGAGGCTGAAAAGAGGAGTGGTTCAGGCCAACACCCGGCCACCAGCCAATGAGGAAGAAGGCTTGCTGTCCTTGAGGTACCCGCCAGGAACCAGGAGCAGAACTGCCGGCATCCGTGGATTCAGCATCCTGGTCCTCTCCGTCCATCACTGCTAACACCTGAGGGCATGAGGCAGCGCCAGGTGCGTTCAGGTAAACAACTGAGATCCGGTGGGCAGGGCTGCTGGGCACTCAGGCTGCGTAGCGCCAGGGAGTGGGTGGAACTTGGAGCCTGATACAGTCAGAGTGAAAGGAATTTGGGGTGATTTTTACTGACGAGGCTCTTCTGAAAACCCACTGATGTGAGGGGTTAACCTGTCACGAGCGGAGGGCAGGTGTGCCGGCCTTTTACTCTCTAATTAGGGCATTGGTGGGAAGCTGGAGGGGACCTGTGGCCATTACCCTGGGCTCAACGCCTCTATTTTTTTTTCTTTTTTAAAAGAATTGTAGTTGATGTACAATGTTGTGTTAGTTTTAGGCGTACAACACAGTGCTTCAGTTGTGCATACATTTCTATCTTTTTCAGATTTTCTTCCCTTATGGCTTATTACAAAATAGTATAGTTCCATGTGCTGTACAGTAGATTCTTGATTAGATATAGTCGTGTGTATATGTTAATCCCACACTCCTAGTTTAACCACCCCCACCACACCCATGCTTTCCCCTTTGGTAACCAAAGCCATGTTTTCTTTGCCTGTGGGTCTATTTCTGTTTTGTCTATGGGTTCATCAGTACCATTTGTTTTTTACATTCCACATCAGCTCCCCTGGTTTTATTGGTGCAAAGAAACGAATAATGAGGTTCCTTTGGAGCACTGCCCCTTTTAATTATGAGCTCCTTCAGCCACAAGAGGGTGGTGACACACAACCCTCCCTGCACACAACCCACTCAGAACTCAGAATTGGGCTCCTAGGGGGACAGAGAACAAGTCGGGAATTAAAGGGAAGAATTCAAAAAGTTTGAAGTGTGCCCAATGACATTAAGACAAAGAAGGGACCTTGGGAAATTCCAGGGTCCACACCAGCAATTCCTAAAGGTCACCCAAGCACTTCAGACACTCTCTCAGAGAAGAAATGTTTGCCCGATAGAGACTTTTAAAAATTTACTCCGCCAAGATAGAGTGATCTCAGTGTCAATTAACCTTACAGGAGGATTAGCCAGATGCTTTGCTCCAAATCCACAGGTGGTGGGCTCTGAACAAGTGGAGTGGATCCACTGGTCCCCTAGAGAAGTAAAGTCAAAAACCTTTCTTCCCCTTCTTTGGCTTTCCCCTGCCTTGCCATTTAGAGAATATTCCGCCTCTGCCGTGGCCTTCAGCTGGTACCTGTGATTCACCTCTGAGGAGGAGTGCTGTTTGTCAACATTTTGAGTGGACCCCTGCAACACTTGGAGGGCTTGTTAACCAGAGGCCTGGACTTGTACCCAGAGTTTCTGATTCTGAAGGGCTGGGTATGCAGCCCAAGAATTTTCTAACTAGTTTTTCTGGAATGCTGCTGCTTGTCCAAAGGGCCTCACTTTGAAAATCACTGGTCTGGAGTGTAAGTAATGAATAGGGTCTGGGCAAACAATTTATGTTTGAAAACTGGGGAATTGATGAAGGATTTATAAGCTGCAGATACATGTGGTTTGGGGATGGTTTTGAATATTCCTGGGGCCACTGTTTGCCCAACATAGCCACCTACCACTTTGTGGGTCTTGGTGAAGCAGGCTCTGAATTTCACTTAGACTGTTTGAGTGAGAAAGAACCTTCTAACCAGGCTAAGAACAAAGTGTATATGCTCTGACTTTAATTTCAGGGTGAGATCGAGGGATTCGTTAGAGGCTTGGAAGAAGGTCTTACTTTGTAGAGTGATAACAACATCAGGACTCAGTGACATGAATTTGTTTGAATAACTTGGTTGCGTAATTTAAGATCAGACACAAGATGAGGGGTCAAGATGGCTTGATCTCCTACAGCTCCTCTCAATTCTGACTCCATCTGCCTCACCTGGAGAATTTTAGTGTTTGGATTCAATTGGTAGGGGCTTCCCAGGTGGCGCTAGTGGTAAAGAACTTGCCTGCATGCGTGCCTGTGTGTATAGGGGCTTGCCTGCCTGCCGGTGTGTGTGTAGGGGCTTCCCAGGTATGGGGGTGTGTGTATGTGTGTGTATTTAGGAGCTTCCCAGGTAGGGTGTGTATGTGTGTGTTTAGGGGCTTCCCAGGTGGCGCTAGTGGTAAAGAACTTGCCTGCCTCTGTGTGTATGTCTGTTACTCGCTCAGTCATGTCCAATCTTTATGACCCCATGAACTGTAGCCCTCCTATGCGATTCTCCAAGCAAGAATACTGGAGTGGATTGCCATTCCCTTCTCCAGAGGATCTTCCCGACCCAGGGATCAAACCCGGGTCTCCTGAATTGCTGGCAGATTCTTTGCCGTTTGAGCTACAGGGAAGTCCAAATTAAAACTGAAAAATAACTGCAGGAGACATTAGGGACACAGTTTTGATCCCTGGGTCGGGATGCTCCCCTGAAGAAGGAAATGGCAACCCACTCCAGTATTCTTGCCTGGAGAATCCCATGGACAGAGGAGCCTGGTGGGCTACAGTCCACAGGGTTGCACAGAGTCAGACACGAATGAAGCAACTTAGCATGCTTGCACAAATGGTGTGGGCTGCAGCCCAGGCATCAGTAGAAATTAAAAGCATCCCAGGGGACTGTAACACAGAGCAAGCTTTGAACGTCACTGTCTGATGCTATAGTTCTTTCCAAGGTCAAGCAATGTTTCCACACCTGCCTACTTAATAAGGCCACCCCATGGCCACCTATAGTGCCTCAGATGCTTTTAATTTTCCTTCTCACATGGGGGCGAACCCATATTCTTCTATTCTGGGCAAGAGAGAACTAGCCAAGTGATTAAGATGTTTTGTAAAAGCCACAAAGATCCCAGGAGTCATTAGTGGAGAGTC